AGAGTGCTGAGCAGACTTGTATCGCTCCACTTCACGTCGATAATCATTAACACCATCCTGATTCCAAATATTGCTAGCATCATCGCTCCAAGTGAGAAGAAGATCAAAGAGTCGCCTCCTTGTTCTAATATCAAATTTCTCCGATTTGGACTCAACAAATTCAGGGGCAAGGGATCTCAGTACAGAAGCAAGTGCATAACGGAGGGGTTGCATATCTTGGAAACTCTCTGCAGATGCTGTTAATATCTGTCTGGTTGTATCTTCAATGAACTTTAAATAATGTAGGCGGAAAACTGGTTTCCTACTAAGCATTCCAGGCCATATATTCTCAGCAACTGTGCGGTATATATTCGCAATGTGGATACGAAGTTCTTCTCGACGGGACCTTTGGCTCTGCAACGAAAACATTGAATATCTACTTAAAGATCTGACTGGACATATATGTATACCAAATAAGTAACGTGAAAATGAATACCTATAACTACATACCCAATCAGGCACACAAAAAGTTCAGCACAGCATCTTGAAAGACTGTTGTTGTAATTACAGAGAGTTTCATGCCAAATATTCTATTAGCAAAAATATGGAAATTCTTTTGCCAATATAATAGACTCATTAGTTTACAGAAGATGAACTTAGTGTCAAATTGCAGTTTGCTTAAAATCGATTATTAAAGGTACTCGAGATTAATGAACACATCAAGATTTTCAGATATAACAGAATTGGCTCGAGAAGATCACCAGCAATATTATCTCCTGCCATTAGCATGCAAGAAATGTGTTTTGCAAACCTGAGCATTGTTATAAGGATGACGTTAAACATACACCTGTTAGCTGATGTAAACAAATCATGTATGGAAAACTCATGATGCTATCTCTTGACTAACAAGTTTGTCTACTACCACTTTGCATCAAATTGGGGGCTGCATCCGCTTGAATAACTCAAAGGGTTAAGAAGCTCCATGTTCACACTGTTCGCAGAACTCTGTGCCATGAGGTATATAGAACCTCATAACACTCCGCCACTCCAAAGAAGGAGAAGAATCCAAGGAAGAATCAACCACTCAATTACAGACATCATAGCAGGCAAGCTGACACAAAGGAGTTAAATGATGGGGAAGTATCAAAAGAAGTACCTTCCATTTTGGTTTCCCTTCTGTCTCCAGAGAAACCTCGTCGATGAAAGATGCAAGCTCATTGAACATGACTTCACATATTTCAAGATGTGCATGGCCAAGAGCCATTGTAGCTGCATGCTAAAAAAGGCGAAAAGAACAAATTACTTGACACATCGTTAAACATAAAATGAAAACTTTTGATTCTCTTCTACTCTCAGGTGCACGATATACTATCACACACCATAACCCCAGTTTCCTGGGCTCTTATTCTCATAAAAATATTTCAGAGAGTAACAAATCCTTGAACAACTTTTTCAATACGTATAATTATAACAGTATCTCAAGTGCTCCTGATAATAACCAGTGTCATCACATGGGGCTGCTGAAGGATTATTTATCAAACTGAGAATTTTTATCATAACGAGATCAACTCTTGTGCTTTAACAGTTTTTCAAGCTCCAAAGGCATTATATAATTGTCCTAGATAGTGGCAGGAGGAAGTTTGAAAATCAAATTTAGTCAAAGGATTCTAAAAGGTTCTCATGAAAAACACAGTAAGAAAAAATCTCGTACCGCTATCAATTTCTCATTAGATTGTTAATATACTATTGTAAGCTCCAACACTTACATTGAGAAATAGACACATAGAGACAATATGACAACTGTATTACCCATCTGAAAGGTTTTCTGTAGCCACTACTTACTATATTTGGTTCGGAACCAGACTTTAAGGATGGGAAGATTAGATGGAAAAGTTCTTTTGTAGCTGCTGAACCACCACCTTCTTTACTATCAGGCGGACATGAGCATGCGAACATTCCATACATCAGCCATTGATCTAGCTTGTTATCTGTGTCCTGTGATTGATGGGCCTTTCCGCCCAAATCCGAAGGAGTGATATGAGCAAGCCGCTGAATAACTTCCAATCTGCAAGTAGCATCAAAATAAGATGGAAGATTTAGCCATCTTCATAAAATTACTTGAATTTGAAAAATAAGGAGCTGCATCAATGAACAAGAAATGGAACTTGAAATATTTGTTTTCTGAGATAATGACCAAAATACCCCAGCAAAAGGCATATATCAAGGTGGAATTCTTGATATTCATCAAGCAACAAGCAATTCAATGCACAAACATAATGTTCATCTCATCCTAAAATACAGCACATGTTTATTCTAAGTCAAATTAGATGTGTAGATTTTTCTTGCAGAGAAGAGAAACTAATTTATGATTCTAAGGAAAAGTAAGTAAATATGGTAACATGAAAGTGTAGTTGGATCATTCCACAACAGAATTTTTTTACTTTCCCTAGTATACCCAAGAGGTGATGATAAAAGATAGATGACACTCTAAAGTGGAAAGCATGGCACACTTTCACGTTTAACATGTCTATATTTCCACAACTGGCTTACTTTGCATCCTGAACAGAACTCGGGCACAGCTCAGCAGCGTACTTGACAAGCTCACTAAGACAACGGGCCCATCTGTGCTTATCGGGGCTATCAAATAGTATAGATTGGAGAGTAACATCAGGGGGTACAGGATCAGACTCGCGCCTCAGATCAAATGGACGCCCCGAATCCCAGTAACAACTCTGAACTATGTCATCCTGCAAAATAGCATACCTCCTTACTAGATATATACCTGAATTTCCTAATTAGAAATAACAGAAGTACCCGAATGTTCAGTGTTCAGAATGCACTACATAAAGAAATAACTGGTACCCACCCCATTCTCTTCTAAAACATCAATTATAAATATGGGTTCAGCTTCATTTTTCAAGATATGATCTGATCGCTCAAGCAATGAAAGTTCCCTAATATCATTTCGCAAAGCACGAACACAACGCAGTAACTCCAGTGCTGTGTGCCGAATCTGACTATCCACGGAGCTAAGGAATATAAGACCAACTGCATCTATCTCTGAAGCATGGAATTCAATTGTCTGTGAGTGATGGAAAGAAGACTTCTTGAATCCCTCAGTTCTCTGCACACGCTTTGCATCTGAAACATCATACTCCACCATATCATCCGTTAGGCAAGCTCTCCAAAAACACATGAGCTCCAAAAGGCGCTTCAGAGACGTTTGAATAAGAAGAGGGAACTCATCTGGAAGACGTAAAATAAAGTTTGCAATCCCTCTCATAACTGCAAATCGACGGTGTGGTAGGTATCTTACAATGCGATTGAGTACCTGTACAGCTTCCTCACGCACACCTGGATCGATACTGATGCCATGTTGAGGTATTATCCCAGTTATTTTATCACTTCGGCCAACTTCTTCAATCAGATATGGTATACACTTCAGAACTGAGCGGAATAGATAACCCTGAGACTTCTCCTTTGTTACAGCATCTGGCGCACAAAAGCATTTATATGTACACTTATTTGGCACAAAATGCACTTCCTCAGACAATTTAGAGAAAAAATTCAAGAGAAGATGTCCAAAGATGAGATAAGAAAAATATTCTCTAGGGGATTAACAAAATGTGAAAAGGCAAGTTTCCTAAGAGTTATGGCCGAAAAGGTGTTGGATTGGTGAATAAACATTCAAAGGCTTGATTTTAAAACCCAAACTATAAACATTGATTTGGTTTGTACAATATTTATAATGTAGGTTACAAAATCTCTTTATCAAACAAAGATTTTTGAAACCTGAGCCATAAAAATTAAATTGCAGGATAACTAACAGAAAAGCCAAAAGAATGTCAGTCGACAGTAAAAGGCCATAAAATTGTGAATTTAGAATCTGAACTACAGATAACCAAAGCATAAAGTTTCGCAACTGTTAACTCACAAATAAGATTGATCAAGTACTACTTTTACATAAACTACTGCAAGACATAACACAAATAAACACGCATGCCTCCTCTCCAATAATTTAAGCTTTTAGATGTGGTAGTCACACAATTCAAATATGGTACTAAAGCAGATAGCGGTCTAGGATTCAAGTCTCACCATGACCCATTTGAAAAAGAATTTCCATGTGTTTAGCCCAAGAAAAAAGAGTCAAGCCCGCACATGAAGTGGTGTGTTGCAGACCAATATAAATAAATAAATGTACTGCTCTAATAACTTAAACTTTTTAGATGAGGTAATGACCTGATGAAAAAGAATGTATAGAGGGTTGTTTGGTCGGTGGAGTAAGGAGACTTAATCTCAAGATAAAATTCAGCATTGTTAGTACAATGTTTGGTTGCTACTTTTCTTTCCTTATAAATAATACCCACATAAGTCATGCCGGAATCTGTACATTATATTATGCGGGGTAGAATGTGGGTTAAGAATGTGAGTATTATGGATCAAAATATTAAAAGATCAAAACCAAACCTAATAACGGTAAACAAACTTTTGTTTTTGTTTAAGAAGTAAACACATATTTCAAATTATACATTGTGTACTAATTTGTAATATATCAAAGAAACAAACATCCAACAAGAAATAATCCATGTTACTAATTTTTGTATTACTAATCTCAGCATTATAATCCCTACATTACTATTACATTACCATCACTGCATAACTTCTTTCTAGACCAAAAGACCCCTAAACGTTTTAAGCATTTCCAATTTAAGCTAAGTGAGGAGGCTCTAAAATCTCGAAGGCAACCATTGAGGCTAAAGTCACACGATACTAATTCCTTGATAGGTGAGCCATTTGTCCCGTGCAGACCTTATGGGTCGAGCTTTCCAACAATACACTTTAATTTCTAATAACACATCTTCAATGCTCTGCACCTTCGGATATCCAACGTTGTGCAACCATAAACACTTTATTCTTAATCTGTTTTACGTATTTGACTAAAAATTACAGATATTCTTTAATTTTTCTGAATTTGGTGACTTAGTATGTTGTTATGTACAATGTTACTGTTCCAAGATACTTAAACAAATCATGGACATATTGCTTTTGATATCAATATTTTATTTTCAATATATTTTAATTGGTAATTTATTTTAATATTTTAACTTCTTGTTTTCTTTTTTAAGCTTAATAACAAAAAATGGAGGGGATTATGAACAGAGCCTTGGAGCTAACACTTCATTGTAAAAGATTGATAAAAAGAAACAGCCATAGCAAAGAGACAGACTTCGTAACTGAAAATCAGCTCAAGTATTCTCCTGTGAGCCTCATATTTGCACTGCAGCCACACACCTGAAATTAGAAATCATATCTTTGCTCAACATTGTTTTTTTATTGTTTTTTTTTGATAATTATCTTTGGTGAGAATTGTTAGAGGACGAAGAACTGGAAATGGGTTTTACATCCGGACCTGCCTTCTTGTTTGCAAGGATAGGAAGGTTGTACGGCATAGCCACTAGGAGGAAGCAGGGCTTCAGATCAAAACCAAGGTGAAGGGAGCATCGGCTATATCCAATTTCCAGATATTTTAGCATTGACAGTTGGTTTTTGTTTTTATTTTTAATGAAAGCAACTGGTGGCCACAAAGGAGATTGGTGGTGGAATGCAGTTGTCCAAGATAAAGTGGAAGCGAAGAAGGCGGCGTACCTGCAATTCGTAGGGAGCTCTGGAGAGGAGGAGAAGAGAGCGAACAGTGAGAGGTATATAAGGTAGCTAGGAAGGAGGCGAAGATGGCAGTAATGGAGGCTAAGACGACAGCTTTTGCTCGTCTGTATGAGGAACTAGGGAACAAAGGAGGGGAGAAGAAGTTATTCCGACTCGCTAAGGTTAGAGAGAGGACGGCTCGGGATCTGGACCAAGTGAGGTGCATAAAAGATGATGGCGGCAAAGTTTTGATGGGGGATGACCAGATTAAGAGGAGATGGCAGACCTACTTTCTAAATGAAGAAGAGGATCAGGATATTGTGCTAGGTGAATTGAGGAATGCCAACAGCCCCCATGAATTAAGTTATTGTNCTACGGGGTTGCACCAAGGGTCTGCGTTCAGCCCTTTCGTATTTGCTCTGGTGATGGATGCCATAACACATCATATTCAAGGGGAGGTGCCATGGTGCATGCTATTTGCTGATGACATAGTCCTAATTGACGAGACACAACGCGGCGTCAACGAGAGGCTAGAGGTTTGGAGACATGCCCTTGAGTCTAAAGGTTTCAGGTTAAG